TACCTCGATATTTAATCATGTCATGTAAAAATCTGTTTGTATTCTCAAAACAGTGTCGGCCCATAAGTTTTCACATGCAATACAGCATTTAATACTCCCTTGTTGTAACCCGTGTTAGGTGGTATAAACCTACACATGTTAATTGTCATCATTCACTTGATGGTCAGTTAATAAATTTATAACAGGTATAATTAGTGGTAACACACTTAGATTACCCGACAAAGGTTCCCATTTGGCATTTCTTGTGTCTGGAGTAAATATTCAACATTATAAACATCGATCAAAGGATTAACCGATAACACGCTGATTGATTAATTACTTTTATCTTACACAGCGGAATTGTCAAAAGGTAGTGTTTATGTATGTAGATTTACTAATCTATACTGAATACACTCTGTCGGTGTATGCGTAAAAACAACGTCCTTCTTTCAAAGGATTAACCGGCAATACATTGATTGATTGCCCATTATTGGCTAACTAAATTACTGTTTTTAAAGAAAGGCGGACATTATGCAATTAGTTGCCAGGTGTGCTATCTTGGGTGACCAATGAGACTATACACCAATACCTGAAAAGATTTATCACTTTTTCGTATATTAAACTGTTAAAAGACACATCATTTGGAACAGTTTTGTGGATATTGATGGATACATTCCTCGAACAAGGTAATAGCCTGATATTGTTCCTATAACTTTAATCTGTTTTAATTTTAATATTTGCATTTTGTTTTTTATTCATTTGTCGTAGCATTCAACAGAATCATTGTTTCGCCGTGAAGTGTAATGAGACAGACAACATGCACTAGGGTGTGTGTGCGAATTATGATTCACACTGGCAAACTATAAAATGTCTAGATATTACAGTTCTGTTATAAATTCACTATAAGTATCAGCAGATCGTCTGCTTTTTATTTAGTTTCAAAATGCATACAAGTATGATAATAAACTAATTAGGATTATAAGACCAAATATAAAGACGCACATTGACTAGTATCTACATACTGGTGAGTGGACATTAACCATGTGAATGTAGCAAGAAATTTATCGCGCAGTATTGTGACTTCGACCCCCACCTCGCTTCCGTGGAAGAAATCGTTATGTTATAAGTTGTGTCATGCAAAATCCGTTTGGTTATGATTCCAATACATATTTAACTACGAGTAGAAAGTAGTTTTGATTTTCTAACTTGATGAAAACAAACTATAATCTCATTAATTCTAACAGATTTTTTTATTTTTAAAAATGGCGGCGCCCTGTCGGGAACATCCGCCAGTCTGAGGATAAATGGTATTTACGTGTGTTTTTACCGAGTTACAAAATCAAAACTACTTTCTACTTGTAGTAAAATATGTATTTTATTGATGGCCAATAGGATTTTGCATGACATAGCGTATAACATAAGAATTTCCCTCCTGGCAGCGAGGTGGGTGTCAATATAATACTACTTACAATATTATTGTTACTTCGACCACAACCTGACTTCCGAGGAAGAAATCGTTATGTTACAAGTTGTGTCATGGAAAATCTTTATGGTCATCAATCATATACATATTTTACTACAACTAGTAAGTAGTTTTGATTCTTTAACTTCCGTGAAGCGATCTGAACACAAGTAAGATATCGTTTCAGGCTTCCACAACGCTCGCTTCGCACTCACAAACATAACCCATTTAGCACGAACTGCGGGGTCCTGTGGAAATCTGTGCATGGGGACACCATCGCCCGACCCCTACGAGCAATTGACGACAAAGCAACGATTCGGCATGTCGTCGTTGATGTCGAGAAATCATCAAAATGATGAGCGTGCTACACACTTTCTATACAACTAACTGAAAATCGTTCCTCATATGACGTCACTGCAGTGCTCTGGCGACAGAGTTACGTAACCTGTCTGTGGTTTCGTTGGCGGGCGAGAGGGAAGCAGGCGACTTTTTGGCCACTTTTAATCGCTCGGTATTAATTAACCACAAGTTTTTAAAGAATAAATTTGGTGTTCCGCATAAGACTAACCACAAATCTTTCATATGTAATAGTTAAAACAGTGACAAAAAACAAAGTTTAGTGGTTCTTTAAACAACGTTACAGTCAATGTGTAGCATGACTGAAATATGTATCTAGGCAATTCTCAATCACGTAAATATTTCACTTTCTTTACAAATTGAGTGAAAACTGTATTCATGTTATAATGATAACAGTTCCAAACATTTTGACGTTTCATCATCCAGGAACTGAATCGATAGGATTAAAAGTTACTGGTTGTAAATGAATAAAAGTATGTTGGCATAAATTTCAACTCATTTTGACTTAATTCAGGTAATTTAGAGCGATATTTAAAAATCGCCCATATGTTTACTTCTGTTCAAAATACATGTTTTTTTTTAATGTTTTAGAGGTTGTAAATGAGTGAAAGTATGTTATATGTATCATGACCAAAAAATCAATTCATTTGGACGAGAATATTTACTTTCGCTCAAAATACATGTTCAAGAGTAGTGTATAGTTTGCAGATATAAAATGGTCTGGGAATGAGCTGGTAGCTGCATTGTAAGAAATATTCTTTTCGCCTTCTGCCTTCCCAAAAACTTTACGTGAGCGGGTTGGTTGATACAAGGGAGGTAGCTCTGACAGGTCAGGTAGCCTCATGCATGATTGTTCAGACATTTGTAAACTATGATATGAAATTTGAACTCGATTCCTACAGGTATTGACAACAAGCTAAATTTTGAGAGATGTCAGCATGGAGATCATTGCAATATTCGGTGCGTGACGTAGCATGTGAAAGAGCCAGGACAACAAAGCGATCTGAGCTGTGAGGTGACCATAACATCCATAATGTATTGTCGTAACTGGCGATTGGGTGTCAGTCAACCCTACCACAGTTACCTACTAATTCTGTCCGTTCCACATTGTCAGGGTACATGGTAGCTCAGGCGCTCCATTCGCTTGGTATGTCCAGGGATGCTAAGTTAAGGAGTAAGGGCTCGGGCGACCCTGACTCGTAACTTACCGCATTACATTCATGTACTGGAGCACATACATTCAAAGATCAACGCAACACCAAGTTCTATACTCACATAGGTTTACTCAGTCTATCTCTCTAAATACAACTTCAACACCAGAGTGAGTGAGTGAGTTAATATCCAAACATTTCCATAGAACACGTGAGCAGATGGAAGTAAATGTCCCTCGAGAATATCTGTGTACCGCTCACTGTTCATATTCCCTTCAAATACACAGAGGGTCGTTGCCCCTAACACAGATATGCCACCCCACACGTTAAATTTCGGACTGTACTTTGGGCGCTGATACAAAGGTTTTTCAGTTTGTTTGGTGTGCTTGTCCTAAACCAGTGTGCAATTCATGTAAGGAGAAAGGTTCATTGTAGTCTTCACCGTTATCAGAATTAAAATTAAGTTTCTTTCTTTCTTCTTAGTCCTTAAATTTCTGGAATTTTGGTGTGTAATTTGATGAGGAGGAATGTTTGGCTAACGATTCCCCAAGTTTGTTTGCGATATCTGCTGTATCTGTTAGTAATGTGTTACCCTCCTTTAGATGTTGAACACGAGATCTGGAACCTTTTCCTTTAATTTTTTGTATCATATTCCAAACTTTAGACATTGGTGTCCTGGAACTGATTTTAGATACATACTTGTGCCAAGATTGGCGTTTTGATTGCTTGAAGGTGCGTCGGGCCTTAGCATTTCATATCTTAAATTTGTTTAAGTTATGGACCCTAGGGTGATTGCGAAAATACTTTTCTGCCTTCCTCCTAGCTTTTCTAGCTTGTTTACAGTCGTCAGTATACCATGGTTTTCGTATGTGTGAATTTGTAGAGGATTTAGGAATAGTTTCATTTGCAATTGTAAGTAGTTGTTCTGAAAAGATCTGAATCGGGTCAGAAGTATTAAAATTTAATTCAGGTGAAATTTTACGTTGGCATAATATCTCAAATAAAGACCAATTTGCCTTTGCAAAATTATATATTGTTGTATCGCGTATGAATGAGTGAATGTGGTTTTACCTCACTTTTAGCAATATTCCCTCAATATCACGGCGGGGGATATCAGAAATCGCCTTCATACATTATACCCATGTCGGGAATCGAACCCGGGTCTTCTGCATGACGAGCCAACGCTTTAAGCATTAGGCTACCCTACTGCCCCCAGCACATTGGAAATTATTCTCCATGTGAAATGTTTTTAATCTTACTCTATAAAAAACACAAGAAACCTGATACGAAATCGCAGATGAATATCATATAAATGCTGAAATCAGGTGGTTAGAAATGATGTATGAACATCATTATAATCAACACATTCAAGCAACTGTTTGATCTAGGACAGGGGATCATAGGGTGAATATAAATAGAGAGTGGATCTAAATTGGATTAATCTATTTTCTGAAACACACTTGGCATAATATCATTTATGCGACCACGACTATCCGTCGTATGTAGTTGTTTCAATATTTTTCAATTATATATATAATTTCCACGTCAACAGATACGCGCAAGGCGCAACAAACACAGATTAAAAGTCTCCTGCATTTATACAGCAATATGAATTATATTTCACAATGGGTTTTTTTCTAATGAAAGAAAATACTACATGCTGTATTTTATAACTCCATAACAGATAAATGACTATAAGAGTCGACCTTGTTTATAGTCTAAGCATTTACATGGGTAGTTAAAGATTGACGGCGCTGGCTGGTAAACTTTGAGTGATCGTTACCTGGTTTGGACACTAAAATAACCACCGATTCGTACCAGGCAGGCGGGAATTTCACCGTTTTCGAAATATTATTAACTGTGAGAGATCCTTGGGTTGATAAATAGATAGATCGTCTTTATTTCCTCCAAAATTGAAGATACATATGCATGATTTAACAGATATTACATTTTACAAGGTACAAGTGTATGAAAGTTATACAATACAAAAACATTTAAAGATATGTATATATGGGGGGGGTGTAAATCTAGTAACATGTGATGAAGAACCGTTTCCATTCATGAACAGCTTTACTCGTGATTTTCATACATTGAATCCATAGATCAGTATCAAGATCTCTAATGTTGTCATTTGGCACTCCTCCAAGTAGAAAACTAATCAGTGCATCATCATCATCATTCCAAACACTTACAAAGGTTGTAACATCCAATAGATCAATGAGGGAGCTAAGTAGTCGCTCTCTGTTACATTCCGTTTGTGGACAAAAAAGAAATACATGTTTTACAACGTCATAGGCATATGTGCCACATAAGCATTCTTTAGATTGTATAGCGAAAGTGCCGACACGGATAAGGTAGGATATGTCATAGAAATAATCTGAATCATTAAGAGCTATTAACCAAAGTTTGTTACTAGCAGCTGAATTGCGTAGGAGAGCGTATATGTGGAGATTGACTCTGTAGTTAAGCTCAGAGGTAACGACATTTGCTTCAAATTTTGAGACTTTATCTCTTACAAGATTTGACCATTGATTTGTGGTAACAAATACAGATGAGTTACGATAAATGTCAACATATTCAGTAAGATCATATTTATAGGTAAGATATAACATATGGTGTAAAGGAGAGGATTTACACTTCAGCATTTTGTGCATACTATCCTTACAATCATGTTGAGCTAATCTATAGTGAAGAATTCGTTTGAAAATGAAACTAATATCAGTGTTAAGCAGTCTTCCCAGGAACAATAATGCTCTCTGATCAATATACGCACGTAGTGATACAAGTCCAAGACATTCTCTGGCAATGACCGAGCACGTGCGTTTAGAGAACCCTTGTACTTTTTTACAGAAGTACTTTTGCACACATTCAAGCATATCGTATTCTTTAGTTGATATGTTATTACAGGCAAATAGACCACAGGGTAGTACAATACGTTCCCATATGCGTACAGCATGCATAGGGTGAAGACCACCAAAATACAATCCATGACTGTGGTTAACATTGACTAGCTTTCTAAGCTTTTCACATATTAAAACAGTACGATTAAGGGTAGATTTAGCGGTGTTTATGTACAGGCCCGCATATACGACATCGGTTTTGCGGTTAATAACATGATCACCCAAAAATAGCTCTGGGCATTCGTGTTTATGATAATCACCAAACAGAAGGAAGGCACTTTTACTAGCATTAAACCTAAGGTGCCATGTTTTGCATAATCAGATATAACATTCAATAAACATTGAAGACCATCGGGTGTACAACTTAATAGGGTTGTATCATCTGCAAGTAGGATACCAGGGGTAGTGGCCCAGGGCAGGTTTAAGCCTCTTCCTGAATTATCAGCAGCATTTAACAGATCGTTAATGTACAGTGTAAACAACCAAGCCGATAGGACCCGTCCTTGCCCAACACCCTGACGTATTTCAAAGGTATCCGAAATATGTCCGCCAATGCTAATACGTGATTTCATTGATGAAGAAAGTATGTATAAAAGTCTCCACATTTTACCTTTAATTCCAAAGTTGTGCAGTTTTAGGAAAAGACCATTAAGCCAAACCCGGTCGAATGCTTTTTCATTATCGACAAATGCACAGTATACTGGCGTTTCTCTTTCATTGTAGTAAGCAATAGTTTCTTGGAGCGTAAATAATGCGGTCTCTGCTCCAGCACCTTTTCTAAAACCAAACTGAAAAGGGTGAGGAAAATTCTTTACTTCTGTTGCCCAGCTTTCGATTCTATTCAAAAGTAATCTTTCAAAAAGTTTACCTAAAACTGGAGTAAGTGTGATGCCTCTGTAATTAGAAGGGTTATCCTTACTTTTACCATGGCCTTTGTGGATTGGAAGTATATTCCCCACACTAAACAACTTAGGAATATATTCATAAGAAACAATATCATTATAAAACGTAAGAAGGTGGTTGATGAGTGATCTTCCACTAAATTTAACATGCTCATTTACAATATGATCCGGGCCTGGGGATTTACCCGTCTTCAATGATTTTACAGTTTTCAATAGTTCATCACCAGTAAATGGACATAAAAGATTCATACTGGTGTCATTACAGTCATCAACGTTTTGTCTTGTGACAAGATCTTCAATAAAACTATTAACAAAACAGGTAAAATCTTGATCAAAATTGATATCTTCATACGGCTGGGAGAGATCCCTAAAGTACTTAGCAAATAGGTTACAGATACTTTCTGGAGCGTCACAGGTCTCGTTCTCGTACACAAGGGTTTTAACTCGTTCTTTATTGCGTTTGTACTTTTTTGTAACCCTGGTATATTCCTGAATATCAACTTCGGCTGCTTCATAGATGTCCCTGAACTTTTCATCTTGAAGTTTACGTTTTGATCGGCGATGTTTTTTTCGAAAGATTCTCTTAGCCTGCTTATATTTTACGTAGTGAACATCGTCCTTATTTCGTGGCTTACCCATATGGACCCATTCTTTACGTGCGTGTCGCATATCGTTATGGCATGGCTTTAAATTATCCCTCTTCCAGTAGGGTTTTAAATGGGATTGAAATTTTGAAGCAGGAATACTGATATTGGCTGAAGCATGTAATGAATCAAGGATGAAATTATGGTAGGCTTCAACATACTCCTCTGGTGTGTTGTAATCAGCTATATCTAAACTGACATTTCTGAAATAATTTTCAGTCTCATAGCGATAAAGCATCAGATCAATGCTGTTGGCCTTTCGCCAGTTTAACTTTTCACCCCCATAGTGATCTTGACGTACATCATCAGTTACATGCATACAAATAAGTATAGGGTAGTGATCTGAGACAGAGTACGGGATGGAATAGTCAATATCATAGCCAACAATGCTACTTCTACAATCAGTGTTAACAAAAACATAATCGATCATAGTTTTAACCTGTCTACATTTACTAGTGTAGGTGTAAGCATTTTGATTGTCCAGTGGTACAATCGAGATTAGGTCACGTTCCTTCAAAGCTCTCTGCAAACACTTAGCTCGAGGTTTTAATGCTGAGAGAGTCCGAAGGTCAGTATTAAAATCACCAAGTATTACAGTTTGTCCATGATATGAGCAGGTATCGTATACATCCATAGCATTATGGAGTTCTTCTGCGTAGACAGTGTCCATGACATTAGACGATGGAAGTCGCACACCAACTATGTACACTGGAATGCCACATTTAGTCATCTTAACACCAATGATGTGTTCACTGTTCGGTATATTTAATACCGAGACACTACAACTATCTTGCTTCCTGATGAACAATGCAACTCCACCAGCTCCTCTAGGTGAAGAATGGTTCTGCTGGCATTTGACACACACATGGAAGTCGTCATGAAGATCAGTTAGAATTGGTTTCTGATTGTCATTCAGCCAGTGTTCACTTAGGAACAGTATATCACAGCTATCCAGTTTATACTTGAGTTCCGACAAACAGTTCGTAACACCACGAATATTCCATGTAATGACACGAGATAATGACATTACAAGAATCAGTATGTATAAATTGCAAGACATATATTACTGTCCGTTACCTTCATGTCCATTATCGCCGTACCATGTATTATTCGGAACCCATTCCCGACAGTTCACGTTTTCAGGCCAGAAATAGTCGTCATCCATGATGACGTCAGCAGAGTCTCTAGTGACTGTAATTCGTATGGTGTATGTCGGGTTACGCGGACTGTCCCAATGCTTCATCAATCTGGTATGAGATATCACAACGCCACGGTCTTTAGCGTAATCCACTATAGCGTCTTTGATGATGTCAAAAGACTTGTCAGCCCTGACATAACTTAGCACTAAACGTTTATTCCTATGCTTCGAAACACCACTAAATGACTTTTTCCACTCATTGTTGAATGTCACAGTTCTGGCTTTCCTTGTATTGCTCTGGGTTTCATTATCAGCACGCTCATCGTAGGGGTGAGAGTGTTCACAGATGATTACGTCATTGTCGGTTGGAGTGATTGGTGTATCCTTGCGAACAATAACCTGTGGTGAACTTGGCATACGATGGGCTTGTGCTGCTGTGGGTGCGCTTGGGGCTTGAGCATGCACTTTGTGGATATCGTCAAAGTCAGCATCTGACAACTGATTACCTAGCTTTACAGTGTCCGAATACAATAACTTGTTTCTTGTGTTTATGCAATCCATCTTCCCGTCAACTGCACGCACACTCTTATCAATAGAGTTTAGCATTGTAATGAAAGTGTCCTTTGAGTCTCTCAATTCTGCTTCACTTTGTTTAAGTTGATTGCAAAGTTTTAGGTTTTCCGCTTTCAACACTTTTCTTTGGACAACAACGCTAGGTTTTCAGCTTCATAGTGTTTTGTTTCACTGACTCTTGCATCATATGCATCAAGGAGTCTGACCATATCATTATTGTATCTGTCCTCAAATTCTGCTAAACGTTTACACACAATTTCAAACTTTTTGTTCATGTCGTCATGAATAAACATCAGTTTTGACATCATATTCCCAAAGAGGTCTTTGTCTTTCTCATGAACATGTTCGTGTCCTGGTTTATCTTGAACAGATTTTTGTCTGGTCAGAACATCAGTTTGAATCACATGGGCAGGAATTACACCTTTAATAAACTTATAAAGCACATACGCATCAGAAGCATATTTCTCAGCTACGCTTTTAGTTTGGCCACTTCGCTTCACACGCCTGATAAGTATTCCTTCAGGAAAATCCTCACATTCGGATTTAGCCACATCATATAGAGAAAATCTTATATTATTGAGTCCCTGATCGTCGTTATCGTAGACTCCAAGCAGTTTTCCCTCGCAGGTTTTCCTATCATTTTCCCCAAATATATCATCCAGCTGTTTCACAATATCATAATCAACATTGTCAGGATTCTGTGTAGAATAGGTTTGGGGGGAGAAACATTCAGTCATTATGATATCAGTAGAGGATAGTGCACATAGGTATTTACCTGTTGGTTGACGTGCTTTATAGAGTTTTCAAGCCATCCGTATGCCCATGATCCATGAATATCCGTAAACACACATAAATAGATCTCCGCAACCATACACTGGATTGTTATTTAAGCGAGTCTGTCATATGGGATTGCCATGTTCGTCATATGTGGGGCATAACCGGGAACAGGACAGGGCTATCGGGAGCTCCGAGTAAACACGTCCGAACCCTACGGCGGCTTGGGTATATTTGGGTATTTCAGAAATGAATAAAAACTCCTTGTGAGGGTAGCTCTGAAACATTATCACTGTCATTCATATTTGAGAGGCAACGTACTATATCACGGGCAATGCTGTTACTGCTGTCCATGGTAACTTTAGTTAGCCAGACAGTGCATTTGTGGAAAGGAGGTATTGCGTTTGGACTTTATTCTTCCATTCGATCAGTAGTATCCAATTCGAAGACGAACTTGAGAAAACTGCCCCCAGGAAAAGACAAATCGCACAATTAGCTCTGCCTTTAA